AATAACACAAAAACCTCCACACAAATGTAACTTCAGGTCCAGTTGCCTTCACTAGTAAATTCTACCAAGCTACTACTCATTCTACACAAACACTTTTAGATTCCTGCCTCATTCTAAAAGGCTAGAACTACCCAAACACACCAAAAGATACCAAAACACGACATGCACATTATAAGAAAACTGCAGACCAATATCTTACATACACAAATATATGCAAAAATACTTCATAAAAATGTGGCAGATCAAATACAATACCTGAAAAGAGTAAGACACCATTTTCAAGTAGGGTTTGTAACAGGAATACAAAATTGCATTAAAAACAGAAAATCAATGAAGATAATTCAATATACATATGCCTTTATAATGCTTTGCTTTACCACGCTTCACAGGTACTGTGTTTTTTATAAATTGAAGGAAGTCTATGGATGCCATTTTTCCAATAGAATTTCACTTTGCGTCTCTCTCACATTTCAGTAATTCTCGCAACGTTTCAACGTTTTTCATTATTGTAATATCTGTTACAGTCACCTATGATAAGTGATCTTTGATGTTAATAATGTAATTGTTTTGAGGCACCATGAACTACACCCTTATAAGACAAGGAACTTAATAAATGTGTGTATTCTGACTACTCCATAAACCAGCAGTTCCCCCATTTCTCTCCCTCTCTTTGAGCCTCCCTATTCCCTGAGATGCAACAATACTGAAATTAGGCCACTTAATATCTTTACTGGCCTTTAAGTGTTCAACACATACCTCTCACTTTAAATAAAAAACTAGAAATAATTAAACTTAGGGAGGAAGGCATGTCAAAGGCCAAGATAGGCTGAAAGTTGACCTCTTGCACTAAAGTTGACCAAGTTGTAAATGAGAAGGAAAAGTTCTTGAAGGAAATTACAAGTGAACCCACGACTGATATGAAAGCAAAACAGACTCCATATTTCTCCATATTAATATGGAGAAAGTTAGAGTGGTCTGGATAAATTAAACCAGTCATAACACTTCCTTAAGCCAAAACCTAATCTAAAGCATGGCCTTAACTCTCTTCAAGTGTATGAAAGCTGAGAGAAGTCAGAAAACTGCAAAAGAAAAGTTGGAAGCTAGCAGAGGTTGGTCCATGAAATTTAAAGAATGAAGCCATCTCTATAACATAAAAGTACAAAGTAAAGCCACAAGTGTTGATGTATTATAGAAGATGCAGCAAGTTATTACTATCTAGAAGATTCAGCTAAGATCACTGATGAAGGTAACTATACTAAACAGATTTTCAATGTAGACAAAACATTCCAATAGACTTCTATTCGAAGAAGGTGCCATCTAGGACTTTCACAGCTAGACAGAAGTCAATGCCTGGCTTCAAAGCTTCAAAGGACAGTGTGACTCTCTTGTAAGGGTTTAATGCAGCTAGTGACTTTAAGTGGAAGTCAATGCTCATTTACTATTCTGAAAAATCCTAGGACCCTTAAGAATTAAGCTGAATCTACTCTGCCTGTGCTCTACAAATGGAATAACAAAGCCTAGATGACAGTACATCTGTGTACAGAATGGTTTACTGAATATTTTATGCCCACTGTTGAGACCTACTGCTCAGAAAAAAAAAAAAAAAGATGTATTTCAAAATATTACTGCTCACTAACAATGTACGTGTCACCCAAGAGCTCTGATGGAGAAATACAGGGAGATTAATGTTTTTATCCCTGCTAACACATATCCATTTTGCTGCCTATGGATCAAGGAGTCATTTAGACTTTCAAGAAAGTCTTGTTATTTAAGAAACACATTTTGTAAGGCGATAGTTGCCACAGATAGTGATTCCTCTGATGGATCTGGGCAAAGTAAATTGAAAACCTGGAAAGGATTCACCATTCTAGATGCCATTAAGAACATTCATGATTCATGGGAAGAGATAAAAATATTAACATTAACAAGAGTTTGGAAGAAGTTGATTCCAACCTCATGGATGATGTGGAGAGGGTTAAAGACTTCAGAAGAAGTAGTTAACTGCAGATGTGGTAGAAACACCAAGAGAACTAGAATTAGAAGTAGAACCTGAAGATGTGACTGAACTGTTACAATCTCATGATAAAATCTGAATGGATGAGAAATTGCTTCTTATGAATGAGCAAATAAAGTGGTTTCTTGAGAAGGAAACTACTCCTGATGAAGATGCTGTGAACATTGTTGAAATGACAACAAGGGATTTAGAATATTACATAAACTTAGCTGATAAAGCAGCAGCAGGGTTTGAGAGGATTGACTCTAATTTTGAAAGAAGTTCTACTGTGGATCAAATGCAATCAGACAGCATTGCATGACACAGAGAAATCTTTTGTGAAAGGAAGAGCTCATTGATGCAGCAAACTTCATTTTTGTCTTATTTTAAGAAACTGCCACAGCCACCCCAACTTTTAGCAATCACCATCCTTATCAGCCAGCAGCCATCAATACTAAGGCAAGACCCTTTACCAGCAAAAAGACTGTAACTCACTGAAGGCTCAGATGATCATTAGCATTTTTTAAGCAATAAAGTATTTTTACGTTAAGGTATGTGCATTTTTTTTTAAAGAAATAATGTGACTGTACCTTAACAGGCTACAGTAAAGTGGAAATATAACTTTTATATGCATAGGGAAAGGAAATAAAATTTGTGTGACTTGCTTTATTGTGACATTCACTTCATTGCAGTGGTCTGGAACCAAACCTGCAATATCTCCAAGATATGCCTATAATTAACAACTACTGCACAATCCAAAAGACAAGAGTAGAGAGATTTTTTTTAAAGCAGGATAACAGAAAAAAGAAAGAAGCAGGGAAAGAGAGAGGGAGAAGGGTAGAGATTTCAGGTTGAAACTTTATGACTACCTTATTAAACTTTATCCTTCCCTTATCTCACAAAAGAAAAATTCTCTTTCTATAGCAAAAAAAGATAAGCTCAGCAAAGGGAGGTTTTCAGTACAATCTCTACATGTTTGAGTAAAACATTCCTGTCCCTAGGTGATTACTTTTGCCTATCATCACCGGATTCTGCATTGGCAAAGAGGTAGTAGCAATTATTGGTTCTGAAATCACCTATAATAAAATGAAATGTAAATACAGTGATATTTCTAGACAAATAAAAAGCCTATTAGAGAAATAAATACAGCCTTACGCTTTCTTAAAATACAGACAATACTTAAAGATCATACTAAGTAATATACTAAAAATACTAAAAGTAGCTTTTGTATCCTCCATTACAAGAAGCTTGACAGAGATTCTTTTGATTCCCTAGATCTTCCTATTTAGCAAGCAGGAACTTCTTGTCCTTCTCTGCTATGTTTTTAATAGAGCAGAAGCCAAAAAACTCTGCACTGTTTACTTCCTTATTTGTCCAACAAATCATCATCAATGAGGTCAGAAGCAAACTGAACAACCCTGAAAGGAATGTTTATTAACTAACAGTGTTCTAGGCCAGTTTAGAGAGCCCATAGTATTCATAGTACAAAAACTATGATGTGGCTGTTTCAAGAATTGAGCAACTACTAATTTTTCTAAACTTGGTTCCTTTCTGGAGCCAAAGGATAAGTTAAGTCTCTGTAGATACTAAAACTGCACAAGATTTTTATCAGCTAATCTTAACCAACTGAGTACGTCACTAAAGACAGCTTTAAAATATATAACTGTTTTTAGCTTATTAATTGTATAGAGTTGCCTGTGCCTGTTGTTTTGCTTTCCCTTCACAAAATAATAAACGCCTTATGATAAATATCTGAAACAAACAAAAAAGCTCTAAAATTACCTATGCCTCCCTCATCCTATGAGGTTAAAATACAGAATTCACTCCTAGAAATGGCATACATACATACATATATATACACATACATACATATATACACACACACACATATACTTTTATTGATAGCTTTTCAAAGTCTGGTAAGAGATTAGTTACGTGTTTTATATGTTTATACTCCAAAATATATTCAATTTCAAACTTACCAATCATTTATTTGCAAGTATCATCATCAATCAAGTAAGCAATAACAATGTACAAGGCTTAGAAGCAGATTTGTCATATTTTAAAAAGTGGAGCTCAAAGCAATTCATTTTAAGTTAACTTTACATTTACAAACTCAAAGAAGGCAGTGCAGGTCTGGTTTTTTTTAGCTACCCAATATCTAATAAATATATTAGATATATTCTAATAAATATATTAGAATACCTAGTAAAAGATGATAACTGTGATAAAATGAAAATGAGAGCAAATCACTGAAAAATGTATTATTTCTTATTTCTTCCTATAAAAGATGCACCAAATTCAATTCCACAAGTTTTATATTGCACAACTATTCTGTTCTTTGTCACTATGAAAGTTACTGTGGAAGATTTTTTAAAAATGTCATACTATAAGCAACAGAGTCCCTTTTTAGTTTAAATAACAAAACGCATCAGACCTTAAATATCCAAATAAGCGTTACCCTCCAAAGTCAATACCCTGGGAGATAATACAGATGTTCAACTATTCACATTTCTTTCAAAGCCAGATTACAGATCACACAAGAAAATCGGCAATTATATAGTATTTACACCATAAGGAAGTTATTTTCAATACAAATCTCCTTGTTCCTTATATATAATTGCTTATTAATAACACTTTTTATTATCCAGCCCCCTCTTCTCCTCAAAACTACACTGTTAATAAATATTGGCTATCAATATCAAAATATTTCTGATACAGTTTAATGCTAGTTAATGTTATCATTTGTAAGTGCACGGTTTCCCAAGATGCCAACTTAAATTTATATGTGAGTTCAAGTACATTTCATTTTTTAAAGTCTCATTACATCATGGATCTATTTTACATGAAAGAAGTCCCTAATCCAAAGAGCTAACAATCTTTAACTGAGTAAAAAAAAAAACAAGAAAAAAAATTAGAGTAATAACTGGCATAAGCCTATATTCTTTTCATGAAAGTTTCCCGTATGTACTTGAATTTACCCTAATAACCAATCAAAGTTTCATACCATTTACAGCTTTTTCAATCAACTCTTCACAAGCATCAAAATCACCCTTCAACACCAGCTTGTCATGAATATCTGTTAACATGGGATGTTCCAGTGCAATCTTGGTTTTCTTTTGCAGTGACTCAAAAGCTTCTGTATAGTTGTGTTGTCTGAAGTGTTTTAGGCAAAGGCGAATAGCTTCCTGTTCACGGTACTACTAGAACACAGAGTAAGTATGGAAAGAAGAGATTTGGTTAGATGATACTGTAGGAAACAGTTAACAACAGTAAAAATAACTAATCTACACTGAGCATTTATTAACACTATGTCCCAAGCAGTGTACTAACCTGATTCATTAGGTATCATTATTTGGCTCTTTTAACCAGCAAAACTAAAACTTGGCCTGTTCCAAACTTGTCCAAGGTTACAAAGTATGTAGCCAAAAGTTATTAAACCAAACCTAATTCCAGAGTCTCAACTTTGAAGAAAGGGAGAACACCTATTTCTTAAACTCCACTTAATATTGTAAAAATTATAACTCCATAGTGTCTATTAATCCCATTACAATGCAGGTACTGAGAGCACAAAAAACATGAAATAATTCACATACAATTATATTATGCTTTCTATTTTTGGTTTTTAAGCTATTACTTGAATGACAAGTATCAAGTATACAGATACTTCAAATTTACAAACATGTGTTATGACTCAAAAATCATCAAAAACAGACTAAATTTAATTTTTTTTTTTTTTTTGAGACAGGGTATTGTTCTCTCTCCCAGGCTGGAGTGCAGTGGCGTAATCTCAGCTCACTGCAACCTCTGCCTCCTGGGTTCAAGCAATTCTCCTGCCTCAGCCTCCTAAGCAGCTGAGCTTACAGGCACATGCCACCATGCCCAGCTAATTTTTGTATTTTTAGTAGAGACGCGGTTTCACCATGTTGGTCAGGATGGTCTCGAACTCCTGACCTCAGGCAATCCACTACCTCAGTCTCCCAAAGTGCTAGGATTACAAGTGAGAACCACTGTGCCCGGCCCAATTTAATTGTTTTCTAAGCCTGAACTACCTCATCTATTAAGCAGCTATAAAGTAGACATCTCAATTAACTGGAATCCAAAAAGCAGGCACTTAATTTATTAAAATTTTCCCCTAATAGGACAGATGCCAAAAATACAATCTTATAAAAAGGATTTTTTAAAAAAAATCTCAACTTCAGGAGTATGTTCTGGGACTACGTCAAATTTCCTAACTATACCACTATTCAAACAAACAGATGACATGCTAATCAAACAACATGATAATCAAACAACAATGTTGCATGATAATCAAACAACAATGATTTACTTATAGGCATTACCCTTTAATGAGGCAAGAAAATAAAATGTATTTAGGAAGATGTATAAGATCTGAAACACAAATCAGTTGATAGCTGACTTCTTAACTAATAAAAGGTCATTAAACATCTAATCCTTACACATTATAATTAACTATTAATGAATAACAATTATAATTAATTAACTATAACTTACTCTTGGCCTCTAAAAAAGATTTATCGTAACTACCATGTAACAATATATATTACAGTTATATTAAACAGCAATATTTTTTAACCCTGTTGACTACTTTAGGAGTCTAAATCACATCGACATCTTAAATTTTCCATCAGACTGCAAAACTATCCCACTAAAAACTATATTTTAAGTATTTATATGAATACAAGTAAAAAAAACAAAATTCAGAGTCAAATGGGTATAATATAAAAGCAGACTGTGGAGCCAAACTGCCTGAGTTCATACACTGGCTCAAGCACTTTACAGTTGTGTGATCCTAGGCAAACTATTCAATCTCTCTGTGCTTCATTTCTTCATCTATAAACTAATGGGGATAGTAAGTGCACCTGTCTCATAGAGTGATAATGACAAAGTGAGTTATTAGGATCGCTTAAAAGCTGGCAGACTGGAAGTGCCTAATAAAACGTTAGCTAACTGTTATTATTATTTTGAATACTTTAAATTATTCTCAATGAATAAGAGATTGACATATTTCTCCTTTTATAGCCATTAAAGTCAGGATTTAAAATACAGTCCTACCTTGCTATACCAGTTGAGACAAGGTTGTACTACATCAGGATCATCAATGCCACTAAGTTCAACATACCAGATGCTAAAGTTAAAGCTGGGTCCCCAGGACAAGAGTGGAACTTTAAGAAGAAGAAACAAAAAGAAGAAGAAAAATATTAACACAGTTCAAATAAAACTTTAGCAAAGTAAAAGCACTATTCAACCTTATAAGGATTCATTCAACAAATTTTCTGGGCATCTTTTATATGACTAGCATGGTGCTAAGGCTACAACAGTAAAATGAAATAGATGACCCATGCCAACATAAGATTTCCTTAGTTAATAAAAACACTGTAAGATAAATTAAAAATGTTCATATGTCTACCCCCAAATAAATGCCACCAGAATTAGATGATTTAACAGGTAAATTTTACCAAATGTACAATCAGCAAAAAATTACTTCAGAATTTAGCCTACATCAGAACACTGAAAGAGACTGAAAGTTCAATTATTTATCAGTGGCATAACCCTGAAATCCAAATCAGAAGAAAAAAGACTTAAGGCCAATTGCAGCTATGAATATATATTTAAATACAAATTAAAAGGAGAAAAGTTGCAAAAAAAATTCAATCAGATTTTCATTGTAACCAGATAGATCTCACTCCAGGAATGGAAATATGATAGTTCAATAAATAATAGGAGCTATATTAACATAATGTACCACGTTAACAAAATAAAAGAAAAAACACATTTGATAACTTTAATACATTATTATTTTTAAACCCTCAATGTATAAGCAATATAAGGCAATAAAAAATTTCCTTACCTACATTTTTTTAAAAAGCATCAAAAACCTTAAAAACTAAACCTAATGGGAAAATACTAAGTATTCCCACTCAAGGCAGAACAAGACAAACAAGTCCAATATCTCTACTATTCGACACTAATCAGAGGTCTCAGCCAGCGCAATAAGGAAACAAACAAACAAACAAATTAAGAAAAACGAATTGTAATTTAAAGATGATCTGTCTACCTAAAAAAATTCAAGAGAGCCAGGAGCAGTGGCTCACACCTATAATCCCAGCACTTTGGGAGGCTGAGGCAGGAGATCACTTGAGGCCAGGAATTCAAAACCAGCCTGGCCAACACAGTGAAACTCCGTCTCTGCTAAAAATAGAAAAAATTAGCCAGGCATGGTGGCATGCGCCTATAATCCCAGCTACTCGGGAGGCTGTGGAAAGAGAATCGCTTGAACCCAGGAGGCAGAGGGTGCAGTGAGCTGCCATTGCACCACTGCACTCCAGCCTGGGCAACAGAATAAGACTGTCTCAATGTAAAAAAAAACAAAAAACAAAAAAACAAAAAACATATATATATATATATATTCAATTGAAAAACTTTTCTTTTTATTTGTAAACAAGGTAAACACACAAAAATCAACTTTTCCTATACCTACAATAACCAATTAGAAAATATAACTCAAAATTAAGTCCTATTTATAATGGCAAAAAGCTGAAAATATCTCAGAATAAACTTAAAATACACAATATTTATAAGAAAATATAAAATTGTAGTGAATAATTGAATACATGAAAGAACATACTATGTTCCTATATAGGAAAACTCAACGTTGTAAATGTGTAGTTTTCTCCAATTAATTATAAATTTAACATCATGTCAATCAAAATCCCAATGGTCTTTCCGGAGGTCCCATGTAGTCAAAACTATTTTTTTTTTTTTTTTTTTAGTAACAACACTAGTTATTTTTCAAAATAACTATTTTTCAAAATAACATAATAAACAGTTTTCTAGCCTTTTAATAATAGCAACATTGCACTAATGGCACAAAAGCAATGGTGTATAAAATTTCTGGCACCTGGGTACCAAACTAATGGCACCAAACAGTACTAGTAGTGCTCAGTAAGTACAAATTGCACTGTACTCCTCACCACCATACACTGGCAATAAAAATAAATAAATAAATATAAAATAAAATAAAATTTTACTGATGGCATAGAAAATTTTATTAAACTCCCATCATTAAGTACACATCTTTTTAATATCCTGTGTGACAAAATGAGAATTGCATATAAAGCATTTTTGTTGTATACCAAAGCACAATGGTTATCTCAAGGAAAGGACCTGTACAATTATTCAAGTTGTTAGTTTAAAAACCAATTTATTTTTCATGGGTTGCCATTTTATTCTTGAAAGAAAAACAGACAACCTATGATTATTTAGATTTGGGTATTTGCCAAACATTTACATGTCATTTCAAGGAAAATAATTAATGATATTTGCTGTCAAGGATAAAAACCAAACTTTCAAGAGAAAAATTAGAATTTTGGAAGGTAAGTACCCACCACTGTGAGCTTAACTGATTCCCAACGCTTAGATTTTTTTAAATGAGATTACTTGTGATATTAATAAACGTGATTTTTAAAATATTATATAATGAAGTGTTTCAACATTTGGGAGATCTGTATCATTCAGGTTATTTTCTAAATAACCAATGAATGTTACAAAATCACACCTGGCTAAAAAGTCCAAGACAGACCAGTGAATTTTAATGTAGCAATAGATTCACTGATGCAGTTTCAGAATCAATAATGCAACTATCTTTAAGAAACTAACACTTGTAGAGTTTTGATGAAGCATCAAAATAGAATATCCAGAATAGCTGATACTAGGCTTAATGATTTCCAATATCCGACTGAATAAGGAAGACATATGGGGTACGATACTTTTATGTATTTTTGTCATCTAAAACAGGGGTCCCAAACGCCCAGGCCCAAACCTGTACGGGTCCATGGCCTGTTAGGAACCCGGCCGCACAGCAGGAGGTGAGCAGCGGATGAGGGAGCATTACCGCCTGGGCTCTGCCTCCTGTCAGATCAACACTGGCATTAGATTCTCAAAGGAGTGCAAACTCTACTGTGAACTGCCCATGCAAGGGATCTAGGTTGCACACTCCTTATGAGAATCGAATGCTTGATGATCTGAGGTGGAAAAGTTTCATCCCAAAACCATCTCTCTGCCACACCCTGCCCCTACTTCTGGATCCATAGAAAAATTGTCTTCCACAAAACTGGTTGCTGGTGTCAAAAAGGTTGGGGACCACTGATATAAAGGAAGCTGTGTGAATAAGAACACAGGCAGTAGCAACCAGTCATGAGAATGTATGAAGTACTGCTGGGATATTTAATATGCCTTTGTTTATGTATGTAAACCACACACATTTCAAAAAGTTTTTTTAACAACAAATATTAAATTATCATTATTGTTTTAGTGTTTATTTCTTTATGCAGCAGTGTCATTTAAAAGTTTATCTACTAAATCACATAGCAATAACCATCAAGTAGTATAAGAGTCAGAATAAAATATGATTCTAAACTCAAAAAGCACCAAGAATATAGTCTATGTATGTCACCAGACATAAAATATTAGAGATTTCCAGGTCCAAGTCTCATTAAGAATTCATTTATTGGTCCTGGTGCAGTGGCTCGCGTCTGTAATCCCAACACTTTGGGAGGCAGAAGCAAGAGGATCACTTGAGCCCAGGAGTTCAAGACCATCCTGGAAACATACTGAGACCCTATCTCTACAAAAAAAATTAAAAATCAGCTGGGCATGATAGTATGTGCCTGTAGTCCTGGCTACTTGGGAGGCCAGATGGAAGGATCACTTGAGCCCAGGAGTTCAGTGTTACAGTGAGCTATGACCACACTACTAAATTCTAGCCTGGGTAACAGAGAAAGACACTGTCTCTTAAAAAACAAAACAAAACAAAAACCTTTTAAAACACTTGCAGTGAAATTTATTCTGTTACCCAATGGTTCAACAGAAATATTTCTAGAATAAAATTAGTTATAATTTTTAATACCTTTAAAGAATACCTTTAGAGGAAGGAGGTAAATCATGAAGTTATCTCACCAAAGGGCATCATATATTACAGATGAATAAACAATATAATTAATTTTCAAGACTAAAAGGGAATGTAAAAAATGAGCAGAATCATGTCCACTCACTGCAAATGCCAGTGATTTTTGATATCATTAACAATACTAATAATGCATATAGAATACTATAAGAAATCTAAAAGTGAATTAAAGCTCCAGGCACATGTTTTTGTTCCCTAATAAAAGACGCCTCCCTCATCAAATAAAAGAACTAGAAACTCCTAATACATATCCCAAGGCTAGCAGTTTGTTTTCTAGGATTCAGCTTTTCCCCACAGGACAATCAGACATGAATATAATCAACATCCCTGTGTGTCACCTTTTTTCATAAAAAGGCCAGCCTGGGCAAGACAGCAAGACTCAGTTTCTAGAAAAAAAATGTCTTTAAAATTAGCCAGGTGTGGTGGTGTGCTACTAGGGAGGCTGAGGTGGGAACATGGCTTGAGCCCAGGAGCTGGAGGTTGCAGTGAGCTCTAATTGTGCCACCTGAGCAACACAGCAAGCCCCTGCCACTGCTCACACCCGTAATCCCAGCACTTTGGGAGGCCAAGGCGGGCGGATCACCTCAGGTCGGGAGTTCAAGACCAGTCTGACCAACATGGAGAAACTCTGTCTCTACTAAAAATACAAAATTAGCCGGGCATGGTGGCGCATGCCTGTAATTCCAGCTACTTGGGAGGCTGAGGCAGGAGAACTGCTTGAACATGGGAGGTAGTAGGTTGCCATGAGCCAAGATCGTGCCATTGCACTCCAGCCTAGACAACAAGAGCGAAACTCTATCTCAAAAAAAAAAAAAAAAAAAAAAAAAGAGGTTCTGAGAGATCCTAAAAATTCAAGATTAACTATTCTGAAATAGTGCATCTACTATTCTACTACAGATTCAATGACATAAGTATACTTAGCACAGTAACTGGCACATACTAAGTGTTCAATAATTGTTAGCTGTTATCTATTATTATTATATTAATTTTCCTCTTAATAGTACACTTCTAAAATGTCACTTTTCCACATGCTCTCCTAAAGGGCTTCCTGGACTTAATACTCAGACTTCATGCTCAGAATTCACGCTACATCCAGCCAGAGCAAAAGCCGCTCTCTGAAGTCTCCACAATCATCCAGGCTGCAGCTGACCCCTTTACAAAAATCCACATCTCTCCATTTACCAAAAACCAAGACTCCCCCTGAATCCTTCCAAGACCCTGTACCTCCTTTTGCCCTCACCTACCCCTGATTTCCTCATACAGCTGTTGTTGTGACTATGAATCCAAATGTAAACCCTTCGAGCCATCTGTAACCAATACCCTCATCCCATTCTACTTTATGTTTACTTTCCTCTGATCTAGTCTCCTGCTGAGGTTTCTCTTTCCAAACTTTAACTTGACCTCGGGAATCCTCCAGTCTCCCAATTAATAACTCACCTCTGTTACTAAATTTTTCTTTTACCTCTAGGTCTTATCTAAAACCAAGCTTCTTTCTAAGGCCAACTCTCCTTCTACACTAATTCCCATCAAAGTCCCTAAAATGCTACATGTAAGAAGGCATGTAAACACAAGCTTTAAAAATATAAGTATAAAAATGCACAAAAGAGATATCCAAAATGAAATCATTTCTTCCATAAATGCACTCTTAAATTAAAACCCCAGATCCACAAACTAGAACAGAACTCAAGAAAATACCCAATATAGCTACCTATCCTACCATTAGACAGAAAAAGCATTAACATCCTCATTTTATACAAAAGGTAACTTAAGAAAGTAAAATTTACCTGAAGGAAGGCAGTCCAATGATATCAGTTCAGCTTTGCTGGTACTCTGAATTACCCACAACAGATCTTAAAACTTAACCCCTGCCACACAGTAGAAATGTGGGCTATTTTCCTTGTTAACAATTTATGACCAAACTTACTTCAATTTGCTTTAAGCAAAACTTAAATGAATAAGCAATATTCATTATAAATGAAAATTATTATAGTTACATGTCAATAAACAACTTGGAGATGATCTGCCATTGTGTTAGCCTTGCTTCTATTCTCCTCCATTACTGTGAATAATTGAAGGCTGACTAAATTTAGAAATTGTGCGTGTAGGCATTAACTTGTTTTTTAAATACAGCAAGATCTTTCAAACATGTCACTATAGAACACAGATGTAAAATACTCAAAGGCCTTTTTTCTTTTAAGTCAAATTCTAACAATTTACCTGAACCAAATAAATGTCTGTGCTAAATTACCACCAAGAGAGAGCTATACATCATTCAGGTCCTCTACTGGAATAACTTTTGAAGAAAATACGACAAACTACAACTACTGACCTAACATATGGCCTTTTAGTTCCATATTTCCTTATATTACTTAAAACAAAAAGTTCTTAAGAGAATGTTGGGAAGCAGATACTGCTGACTGGTATTAACATCTTTTAGAGAAAAGTGAGACACACTAAGTTATCTATATATTAATATTCTAAATAGAAAATGGGCTAATAAGTGTCTACTATTATTTGGAAAGCTCCAATTAACATTTTGCCAAATACCATAAAACTAACCCTAGATCAAGTAAAAGACATCATTATGCCCTATAATTAAAAAGGTGATGGGAGAAATGGGTGGCTGTTGATGAAAGGGTAAAAAGTTTCAGTCAAACAGGAAGAATAAGTTCTACTGTAGAACTTATCTACTGTTCTACATCTAGAATGAGATCTACTGCACAGCATGGTAACTACAGTAATAACAACTGAAAATTGCTCAGAGAGTAGATCTTAAATGTTCTCACCACAAAAAAATCTTAAGTATGTGAGGTGAGGGATATGTTAATTAGCTCGATTTAAAAATTTCACAATGTATTCATATGTCAAAACATCACATTGTAAACCATAAATATATATATAAGTATTTGTCAATTATACCTTAGTAAAGCTGGGGGGAAATTTTTTCAGTGCACATATTCAACTACTCAGCAAAAAAGAAAAGAAAGGGGAAAAAAGGCTGACAGAGCTAGAAAAGATTCCCATTTCCACTGCTTGTATACTTGAAATATAAAATCATAAAATTGTTAAAGCTATGCAAAGGTCTTTAGGAACTGGTAAATCTAAATACTGATGAAAACATTATCACTACAAAAGAAGGAAATAACCGAAAGTTAAATTTATTTTTAAAATTTGCTTGCTCATAAATTCTTATAAGAAAATAGAATATAGGTTTTTATTTATAAGTATTTATTATAACAGTAATTATAATACTACTAAGTGACATATTAGAATCCAACTGTTCCAAAAACAGTTTCTGTATATAAGCAGTCTTTCTTAAGACCTCAAATATTCTTTTGCCCAACAGAACTATCTGAGTCACAAAACAAAACGGCAGCAACTCTTGACAGATTGGCAAACAATGACTCTGTTTGTTCCAAAAGAGTAATTATTCTCCCAAATCAAAATGTGGAATCTGACTTTTATTATTATTCTTCAAAGTATCTAATTCACTTTAATCCCCATATTAATATAATATTCTCAAAAGTATGCAATATGGTTATAAATTAGAAGATTCGTTTTTTTTTTTTTTGAGATGGAGTCTCGCTCTGTCTCCCAGGTTGGAGCGCAGTGGCGTGATCTCGGCTCACTGCGAGCTCTGCCTAATGGGTTCACGCCATTCTCCCGCCTCAGCTCCCCAAGTAACTGGGACTACAGGCGCCCATGCCCGGCTAATTTTTTTTTGTATTTTTAGTAGAGATGGGGTTTCACCGTGTTAGCCAGGATTTAAGTCCTCAACTTCCCTACCTTCTAAATAATAAATCCTAAAGGAAACAAAATCACCTGAAAAATACTCATTTTGAGGATGCATTATAAATACTTTTTTAAGCTAAAATACTTGCTAAAGAAATACATGCCTTAAGGTAATATTTTTCAAACAGTGATTTATAACCTATCAATGGGTTATTAAATAAATTTAATGGGTCTGACCAGCATTTAACTAAAAAAAATAAATAAAATAAAAGAACATAACAGATAATAACCATAACATACTGCCTTAAGGATTTTATCAGTATTTGGTTTTAGAATACTATTGTTTTAGTATAAGTGATAAACCTTAAGGCAATCAAATCACTAGATCCCATAAAATCTAAGAAAACTTTCAAATGAGAAAACATATGGAAAAGATTCCACTTGAAATAACTGCCATTTAGTAATGAATTTATATAAAGCAGAAGTCAGCAAACTTCTCCTGTAAAGGGCCAAAGAGTAAATTTAGTGGGCTCTGTGGACTATGTGGTCTCTTGCAACTACTCAAGTCTACTTCTGTAGCACAAAAGCAGACACAGACAATACGTAAACAAACCAGGGCAGCAATGTTCCCATAAAATTGTATTTAAAAAAACGAGGGGCCTGCAGGATTTGGTCTATGGGCTATAGTTTGCTGACTAATGATACCAAGAATTTGTTTCTATTCCCAAATGCTAAAACCTTACCTATTTTAATGAATCGACAAGGAAACATCTGTTCGTCAATTTTATGCTTCAAGGTGAATGTTTCTTTGTTATAATCATTCTTTAAGCCACTGTAGGAAAAAAAAATAAGGCTGTTAAATCTGACTTCATAATTTAGTAAATGTACTAGAACACGAACTAACGCATACTCAGGTTTTAAGTTCAAACTAATGCTCAAAATATTATGACCAAGACAATATAAACAAGTAGTTAAACATGGGCATATAGGTCAAAACTAGCACATTCAAATCAACAGCATTATAACTGGATTCTCTGAATTACATGAGAATTAATGAAAAATGTTCAGTATTATAAAGAATATAGATATAGTGCTTAAAAATGTGTGACAGGGCCTAGTGTCCTGAATGGATAACTGAATATAACAAAATTTTCAAATGGTAAGAAGGAAATTAAAAAACAATTCACAGTCAAATCCAACAACTTAAACAAAACCACATACTAGAATTCGCCGAAGAATTTAGTTATTTAATTCTGAGATGCCAATGTTTCCTTTATAGTTCAAAAAATTTTCAAAGCCAGCCTTACTCTGTTTAATAGCATCTGCTTTATCCTAAATAAAAATAAATGCATATCACCTCTCTACTTAAACAACTGGGATTGACACAAGGATTTATGGGAAAGTCACTCACCCTCAGGTTGCTATTATATTTCCTGAAATACTTCCATGACTGAAATCAAATACAGTATAGAGTATTTGCTTATATAAAATATTATGTTAATGGGCCATACCATATCACAAATACATTCTTTGTTTTTTTTTTGAGACAGAGTCTTGCTGTGTTTCCCCGGCTGGAGTGCAGCGGTGTGATCTCGGCTCACTGCAACCTCCGACTCCCAGGTTCAAGCGATTCTCCTGCCTCAGCCTCCCAAGTAGATGGGATTACAGTTGCCCACTACCATGCCCAGCTAATTTTTGTATTTTTATTAGAGACAGGGTTTCACTATGTTGGCCAGGCTGGTCTTGAACTCCTGACCTTGTGATCCGCCTGCCTCAGCCTCCCAAAGTACTGGGATTACAGGCGTGAGCCACTGTGCCCAGCCATCACAAATACATTCTAAATTTCCATGGTTTCATTTGTCCATTCTATTAGCTATCTGATTTTTCATTTGCTGGGCAGCAAATTAACACATTCATTCCTGGTTGTCTAATATTATTAAAACTCAAATTTACTGAGCTCCTTCCAAGTGACAGGCATGCATCTTTCAATTTATAAAACATTCCTCTTTTTAGTCTCCAACTTACAGTAAACCACTGCTTCTGGATTAAGGCAATTAATCTTAGCGTTTTGGATAGAGGTGTATTTTTTTACAGCAAAGATTATAGCAAAAAAAATTATTAAAGCTGAAAATATTTTTGAAGTCATTAACAGCTCAAAAATACAATTAAAAAAGGAAGAAACAAAAAAGTTTGATTCTTCTTTGGTAAAAATATTAACTAGGGTCTGTTGGTTTAAAAAAAAAAAAAAAGAAAGAAATCTAACTCAACCCACAGTATTAAACTAAGGCATTAGGAATAGAAGAGAAGGAATACTCTTTTCTCCTTTGAAAGAAAAATCAAACCATGCAGATTAGCTACAAAGAGACTAAGACTACATTTTGTTTAGAAGACAGCTCTCTTCCCCATAACCATAACTCACCTGGACAACAGCTCTGTCATATTCTCTTCATTCATGCCACCAAAGACTTTAAATTTCTTCAAATTGCAAACATGAGTTTTCTCATATTTTCCAAATGTGATATTCTGAACTATAGCAGGCCTTTCGAGTTTTAGAATCAAGTACTAAAAACAGAAACAACCAAATTTTATCCTCTTCTGTTTAAAACAAATGTTAGACAACTTTAAAACTATTGCCAGTTAACAGGAGAATGTATAAGGTTCATCCTTGTCCATCCTGTACTAGCAGATTTTTTTTTAAAGTTATTGAATAGTACATAACAGCCTTTTAAAGGTTATCCCACCAGAACCACTTTTCACTCCAGTAGATCCCCAAAACTACATTATCCCCAACACTGCAGGTGAAGGGGGAAAAAAGAACTAGTGAGATAACTTCTAATCAAAGAATGGTATTCAATAAAAGATATAACCAGACTATGCAAAACCAAATAAAACAAGATTAGAATACAAAAATAGCAATTACATATTCCTATGGACTCTACTTCAATAACTAAATCAATGTTTCAAAGCAGCACTAAAATTTTTAGATCTAGAAGCAAAGATTTACTAATCAACCCTGCCAAGTTTACAAATTTAAAACCCACATCTATTCTAGATATGTCTAATGTAGCTCGTTTTCCTACTGCACATTGGATAAAATGGGATCAATTAAATAGAGAACAATTTACATCATGCAGACAGTTCTCTATTATAAAAATTAAGAGGAAAATCACCACTGCTTGAACACATGCTGGAAAAGCTATTCAGAAAAACAATTCAGATGTTTTGTTGGAGAGATGTCATGCTTCATGATATTGGATGATAAAGGTGGTAAGAATAAACTTGCTGGTCCTGCTGCCTCTTATCACACACAAAAATTAACTCAAAATGGATAAAAACTGATCCAACATCAATCCTTTAGGACTGAAGACCTGGCCGGGTGCAGTGGCTCACACCTGTAATCCCAGCACTTTGGGAAGCCAAGGGGGGGGTGGATCACAAGATCAGGGGTTCGAGACCAGCCTGGCCAACATGGTGAAACCCCGTCTCTACTAAAAATACAAAAATTAGCTGGGCATGGTGGCAGGTGCCTATAATCCCAGCTACTCAGCAGGAGAATTGCCTGAACCACAGAGGCGGAGGTTGCCGTGAGCCAAGATCACGCCACTTCATTCCAGCTTGGGTGACAGAGCAAGACTCCAGCTCGGAAAAAAAGAAAGAAAAAAAAAAAAAAAGAAGACTGAAGACCTAAATATAAGAGCTAAAAATTTAAACATCTTAGACAAAAACTACAGGCAAATCTTCATGACTTTGGATTTGGCAATGGATTCTTAGATATGACCAGCAAAAGTACAAACAAAATAAAATAAATTGGATTTCATCAAAACTAAAACTTTAGTATCAAAGCATACTATCAAGAAAGTGAAAAGACACCCTATAGAATGGGAGAAAATATTTGCAAATCATGTATCTGATAAGAGTCTGGTATCTGGAATATATTAAAAATGCCCTTACAATTTAACAACAAAAAGACAAACAACCCAACTTAAAAATAGATAAAGGACCTGAATAGCCCTTTCTCCAAAGAAAGTAAACAAATGGCCAACAGGCACATGAAAAGATGCTTAACATCATTAGTCACCAGGAAAATGTAATTCAAAACCACAAACGATTTCACATCCACTAGGATAGCAATAATAATAATAATTTAAAAATGCAAAACAATAAGTGTTGACAAAGCTGTAAAGAAATTGGAACTCTCATGCATTGCTGGCAGGAATGTAAAATGGTAGATATACTGTGGAAAATCATTTGGCAGTGCCTCAAAAAGTTAAACAGAATTACCACATGACCAAGAGTGTCCACTCCTAGGTATAAATCCAAATGAAGTGGAAAAAAAAAGAAGGTATACATATAAACAGTTGTACATGAATGTTCACAGGGATACTGTTCACAGTAGCCAAAAGGTGGAAGCAACCCAGATACAAAAGGTATCTGACTTACCCAGAACAAGTATATGCACAGAGGCATAAAGCAGATTAGTGGTTGTGAAAAGCTGGGCTGAGATCGAAAGGGAGATACTCCTTACTGAAGTTTCTTTGTGGACAATGAAAATATTTTGGAACTAGATGGAGGTGATAGTTGCTCAATTCTGTAAATGCACTAAATGTCACTGAATTATACACTTTAAAATGGCTAACTTTATATTATGTGTGAATTTTACCTCAATAAAAAAAGAATTAAGTTGGTGGTGACAAGAATGGTAATGAAAATAACCCTAACATTTTGTGAGCACTAACTTCTTATTTGGCACACTGCTGAGACTTTTACATGCAATAGCTCACTCACAGTAGTAGTGGGAGGAATATATGAACACAGGTTACTCTCTTCATCCTCATTTTACAGATGAAGAAATATAGTTATACAGTTAATAAATGACAGAGTTGAGATCAAAAATCAGTCATCTGCTTCTGGCTTACACTGTTGGCTGGCTGACCCAACTTCCATTCCCACCCTAGTTCTTCCTAGATACCCTCCAGGCAAGGGTAGACATATGACAAAGGTCAATGAGATGCAAGCAGCAATTTGTAATGGGTTAATTTTTGCTTTCTGAAACAAATGCTACCTCTTCTTCTGCCTCTTTGCTATATGAACAGTTACAACTGCAACAATCACTGTGCAACCATGAAGAGAAATGGCCAAGAGAATCTTAAAGATAACAAACATTAGTGAGCCACTCAACTCTCATCAGCAGCAGCCTACCACCAGTTTTACTTTTTCATTCACAGCCACTTTAACCTGTATAAATTCCAGCCATATTAACTGTACATATTTTAGTATGTTTCTCCACAAGATACAGACTTAAAGAATATTCATGATAGTTACATACTAGACAAAAATAACAGTAGCTCCTTAATATAATGGCATCAAAAAATCCTGTCACTGTTCACAAATCCACAATTGTCTAATTTAAAAAAATAGTTTTTCTAGTTTGAAGTTCAAATAAGGCTCATGAATTATGATTGGTTAATACACCTCTTAAGTAACTTTTAATACACTGGTGTCTCTCAACTGCATTTTTCCCCCTTTAAATTTTTTGCTGAAGAAACTGGGTTGTTTGTCCTTAAGACTTTCCCACAGTCTGGATTTTGCTGACTACACCCCCTACCTCAATGTTTATTTTCTGTAAATTAGTAATTTAATCTTCTCTAGTTTTCTTACGTAGGGAACAACAACCAGAAAACCTATTTGTTTAATCCACTGTAACAGAATCTTCTGTTAGTTGAAGCTAAAAGCATTTCTACTGATTCACTGACCCCAGCTGACCAAAGCTTTAACCACTACTTTATAAGGACTGTTTACTATTAAACTGATAATCTCTAGTCATTAACCTTCTTTATCCCTATTAAATTAATAGGTGTAGTAATGTGTCTTTTGGTAATACAAAGTTTCTTTAAGAATACAACTGCATACTGAACAGATGATATAGGTCTGTTCGCACTCTTTATCTTTGCATATTTAAGAAAATATAGGTAGATATTCACATCTATCTTTTTTGTTAACTCACACTCCCTTCATCCCGGTATATCCCCCTTCCTCTCACTCTTCAGTCATCCTTTTAAGTCTTAGACATCACCTTTCCCTGACAATTCATTTAGCATAGCCTTGTAACTGTAATAGTAAAAATGGGCCTTTATACAAATTGTTGTACACTATCCATTATCCCATATACTAAACGCCTAAAACCAATGAAAAGCATGTTTGTACATATATAGTAGTATTAACAACCAAATATCGACAGAATTTTTGTTATTAAAAATAAAATAAAAATCTAGAATATCTAAAGTAAAACATAGTGGTCTGACTGAAGAACATTGTGGGTAAAATTTTAAATGTTTGAATCACATTTTAACTTTATTGGTAAGTTTTTCAACTCCATTTTTTCCAACTCTTCCTTTTTCCTTCTCTTTTCTTTCTTTCTTTCTTTTTTTTTAAAGACAGTGTCTCACTCTGTTGCCAAGGCTGGAGTGCAGTGGTGAGATAGGGTGTATTAGTTTCCCCGGGTTTCCATAACAAATTGTAACAAATCAATGGCTTAAAACAACAGAAATTTATTTTCTCACGGTTCTGGAGGCTGAAGTCTTAAATTACAGTGTCAGCAGTACCATGCTCCCTTCAAAGGATCACAGAAAGGATCCTTCTTTGCCTCTTCCAGTATCTGGTGGCTCTTGATTTTTTTGGCTTGTGACAGCGTAACTCCTATCTCTGCCACCCATCTTCACATATCTTTCTTCCCTGTATCTGTGTCTTTTCTGTGTCTAGTAAGGTCACTTGTCATTGGATTTACAGGCCACTCTAATCAAAGATGCTCTTGCCTCGAGATCCCTACCTTAATTACATTTACTAACACTTTATTCCAAATAAGGTTACATTCTGAGATGTCACATATCTTGGTAGGGGTGGGGGTGGGGGGAGAGACCATTCGATCTACTGCACAGAGCCAGCCAGGCAAAAAAAAAAAAAAAAAAGCAGTGAATGCTTATGAAAATTAGCTCTAGGTACCGCTATTAAAATGTCAGTGTGGTCAGTCACAGCCTAGTAGGCAGGGCAGAAAATGGTATGTGCTGAAAATGAAGAGGCAGGCAGTCACCAGATCATGCAGTTTGTGCAATTACATGGAGTTTGAATTATAAATGCAATGGGATCTACTAAGCACAACAAAAAGCTATAATCTGATTAACATTACACACACATATGCACACAATGTGCATTACAGAGAGTGGATTAAAAGAACTAGCAGACCAGTTAGCATTCTGTCACAATAAACTCAGGAAAGAGGTGAGATGAAGGAGACTTGGACTAGAAGAGTGCGGAGATGGACAAGAGTAGACAGTTTTGACACACATTTTGGAGAAATAATTGATGGGATTTGGTGACAGATTGCATGCAGGGAAAAAAGAGGAGGCATCAAGGATGATGACGTAGTTTCTGACTTGAATAACAGGGTAGCTGGTGATATCACTTACTTTGATGGGAAGAACTGGCAAAGAAACAGGAAGTACAAAAATGAGACTAGAAAAGTCCAGATTTTATATCTATGTATATCTGAGGTTATGTAATAAATC